TCTCTGGGGGAGGACTCCTGAGGGGAGGCCCGTAGGGAATGGCCCAGGCTGGCCTGACACCTGAGCTAGGTGGAGGATTCAGTCAGTGTCTGGGAATGGTTGGCTGGCTGGAGGGGGTGTCTGGGGATGGATGAACGGACAGAGGGGGTGTCCAGGGACGGGTGGCTGGCTGGCTGGGGATGGATGGAAGGACAGACAGAGGGGGTCTCCAGGGACAGCTGACTGGGTCACTCTATAGCCCCACCTCTCCAGCTCCCACAACACAGTGCTCCTCTTCCTTGGATTCTGCTCCTTTCACTCTGCCGAGGGGCGGGGTGGCAGGCCTGGGCAGAGGGGGCCAGGGAGCAGAGGCCTGGCGAGGCTGGATTCCCGCGGGGTGCTGTGCGGGGAGGACAGCAGAGCAGGAGCCCGCCGCACAGGGCCGCGGAGCCGTGTGGTTTCATCGCCAACTGCCGGAGAGACAAGTGACTTGGTTCTGGTGCCCAGGTTCCCTCGGCAGGAGGGATCAGCAGGGGCAGAGGAAAGCAGGAGCTGAGCCCTGGCCAATGCAAATGGGAAACAAGGCACCTGTATTTATCCAGCGCTGGGGTGGGTTCCCCATCACAGATCCAGCTGGCTGACTTTCAGGGAGGTACCTTCGTTAGATGATGGAAATTACTGGGCTCTCTGCAAGGCAGGAGGGCCGGGACAGGGTGGGGCATGGGGTCACGTCCTCCCCCCCCCTTACTGGCTGTAGGTTGAGCCACAGAAGGGGGTAGAGGAAGACGCAGGGATGGGCTTGGGGAAAGGACGATGCAAGGCAGGGCCACGAGGGGCCTGCACAAGACGCAGAGAAAGGGGGGGGCAACGGTGGGGCCTTAAGGGGGCAGAGTGATGCAAAGGGGGGCCATGGTTCAGGCTTCTGTGGCCCCCGTTTTTAGGGTGCACCTGTCGCTCCTGCTACTGGGGTGAGTTAAATTCTATGGCCCATGGTACAGGAGCACATAGGGGGCTGCTGGGGGTCTGGGCAGCCAGGCCCGGCTCAGGTGGTTTGGGATTGTAAAAAAAAGCGCGTTATTTGGAGACTTCTGCCTAATCGATCAGCAGGGAAACAGCAGAGTGCGGACACCGAGATGAACGGGGCAGCTCGCGCCCCTGGGACAACTGACTCCGGTTGGGTGCCGGCTCAGGGCGATGCCGCTGCCTTGCTTTGTGTGTGTGTGTGTGTGTATTAAGGCGCTGGTTCGTGTGTGTGTGTGTGTGCTGGGGTGTGTGTGTGTGTGTGCTGGGGTGTGTGTGTGTGTGTGCTGGGGTGTGTGTGTGTGTGTGCTGGGGTGTGTGTGTGTGTGTGCTGGGGTGTGTGTGTGTGTGTGCTGGGGTGTGTGTGTGTGTGTGCTGGGGTGTGTGTGTGTGTGTGCTGGGGTGTGTGTGTGTGTGTGCTGGGGTGTGTGTGTGTGTGTGCTGGGGTGTGTGTGTGTGTGTGCTGGGGTGTGTGTGTGTGTGTGCTGGGGTGTGTGTGTGTGTGTGCTGGGGTGTGTGTGTGTGTGTGCTGGGGTGTGTGTGTGTGTGTGCTGGGGTGTGTGTGTGTGTGTGCTGGGGTGTGTGTGTGTGTGTGCTGGGGTGTGTGTGTGTGTGTGCTGGGGTGTGTGTGTGTGTGTGCTGGGGTGTGTGTGTGTGTGTGCTGGGGTGTGTGTGTGTGTGTGCTGGGGTGTGTGTGTGTGTGTGCTGGGGTGTGTGTGTGTGTGTGCTGGGGTGTGTGTGTGTGTGTGCTGGGGTGTGTGTGTGTGTGTGCTGGGGTGTGTGTGTGTGTGTGCTGGGGTGTGTGTGTGTGTGTGCTGGGGTGTGTGTGTGTGTGTGCTGGGGTGTGTGTGTGTGTGTGCTGGGGTGTGTGTGTGTGTGTGCTGGGGTGTGTGTGTGTGTGTGCTGGGGTGTGTGTGTGTGTGTGCTGGGGTGTGTGTGTGTGTGTGCTGGGGTGTGTGTGTGTGTGTGCTGGGGTGTGTGTGTGTGTGTGCTGGGGTGTGTGTGTGTGTGTGCTGGGGTGTGTGTGTGTGTGTGCTGGGGTGTGTGTGTGTGTGTGCTGGGGTGTGTGTGTGTGTGTGCTGGGGTGTGTGTGTGTGTGTGCTGGGGTGTGTGTGTGTGTGTGCTGGGGTGTGTGTGTGTGTGTGCTGGGGTGTGTGTGTGTGTGTGCTGGGGTGTGTGTGTGTGTGTGCTGGGGTGTGTGTGTGTGTGTGCTGGGGTGTGTGTGTGTGTGTGCTGGGGTGTGTGTGTGTGTGTGCTGGGGTGTGTGTGTGTGTGTGCTGGGGTGTGTGTGTGTGTGTGCTGGGGTGTGTGTGTGTGTGTGCTGGGGTGTGTGTGTGTGTGTGTGCGCTGGTTCGTGTGTGTGTGTGTGTGCTCTGTCAAATTCCTGCTACGAGATAACAGAATGTGTGGGACCCTCACCCTCATCTTGAGGCTCAGGAGTGCAGGCCTTCCCCAGCGCAGCCCCAAAACCACCTGGCCTTCCCTGCAGCTGTTGCTAGGTTGCATTGCAAGCAGACGGTCATCAGCTTTCACATTTCTCAGCTGTTCCCGTTCCCAGCGGCAGCTTCCTAATGCAGTGGTCCCCAGCGTGGTGCCTGCGGGCGCCATGGCGCCCGCCGGGCCATTTCTGTGCGCCCACTGAATGATCGTGGCTGGCCCCGCCCCTAGGTGCGCGGCGCATGGGCGGTGCTAGCCCCTGGCGCGTGGTGTATGGGCGGCCCCGCCCCTGGGCATGTGGCACAGGAGCGGTGCCAGCCCCAGCAGTGCGGCACGTAGGTGGCGCCAGCACCAGGCACGCAGTGTATGGGTGGCCCCGCCTCCGGGCGCGTGCACAGCTCCACCCCCGGGTGCCCAGCGCATGAGTGGTCCTGCTCCCGGGTGCCCGGCAGTCCCAAAAGGTTGGGGACCACTGGTGTAGATATAGCCCCAGGGAGGAAACATTTTGGAGCTTCTGCACTAGGAGGATAGAATTCCCTAACTTCACAGCCCACTGCATGGCAAGAGACCTGTCAGATATGCCCGAAAGGGCCCTAACTGTGAGTTCTGGAAAACATGTCCAGCTCTCGAATGTCAGAAGTTTGTCATATGCAACTTGGAAGGTCAGTAATATATGGGAGGCCCCACCCCTGGGCGTGCAGCACAGTTGCGGCGCCAGCCCCGGGAGAGTGGCGCATGGGTGGCGCCAGCTCCAGGCATGCAGCGTATGGATGGCCTTGCCTCGAGGCACGTGCGCGGCCCCGCCCCCGGCTGCCAGGCCTGTGACCAGCCCTGCCCCTGGGCGCCCGGCAGCCCCAAAAGGTTGGGGATCATTGGAATGCATCTCTTGGTTCCGGAGCCCCCTTCCTCCATGCCAGGGGGGGTGGGCATCTCCCAGTTGCATTTCTCCCAGAAGAATCACACGTTTCACCCCACTGGGCTTGCCTGGCATTGTTTAAGATCGACTGGCTAATTCGTCCTAGAACTAGTGTAGACAGGCACCTTCTATTGGAACGGTAGCTGGTCCTGTTAAACCTTACATTGACCAGGGAACACGTCACTAAACACCTGCGCTAGGGCTATGTCTAGACTACGGAGTTTTATCAGAAAAAGGTACGCTAATTGCACTCCGAGATTTGCCTACCCTTTTCCAGTTGTTTTTTCAGAAGAGACTTTTCTGAAATTTGGCCTGTCTACACTGGGCCAAATTTTGGAAAAAACTCCTGAGAGGGGCGACATTTCGGAAAAGCCTCTTCCGAAAAACCAACTGGAAAAAGGTGCGCAAATGTGGAGCGCAATGTGCGAAACTTTTTCCGAAAAAAGCGGCAGTCTAGATGTAGCCTAGGACTCCTACACGTTAGCAAACATTAAAACCAGACCTTTCTCCTGGGGCACCTATGGCCTGAGGCTCGGCTCAGCTGACGCATAAAGCTAACACTGTCCCTGCTCGTTTTAAGAAATGCTGGCTCACAGGTTTTCAGTATAAACTTCTTTTACCCGTGCTGAGCTCAGAATGCCTCTGCTAGACGTGCTGTCAGGATAAGGCTGGTCAGCCGAGTTCTCTCAATGGCCCAAGCCTGACAGCTCGCAAGCTAACGCCGTCAGACATGCGACAGTGTCCCATGCTGGGACAAGATGCGTTCCAGTGCAACGGGGGTGCCCCGAGGCCAGTTTGGAGACACAGGCTCACAGGTGTGGGGACATGGAACTCCAATCCACAGAAGCCTTGAAGCTTGGGCTTTGCTGTCGGTTGTCACCTCCCCACACAAAACCATCCACGAATGGTATCAGTGCGCTGCCAGGCTCCTCTCCAGGCCGCTCACAAAGGAACCAGCGAAGGCCAGGCCTGGTCAGATGCTCTGGTTTGCAGAGCTCCAGTTCACAGCAGTTGCTGTGCCTGGGAGGAGCAAGGTCTCACAGGCTCCCGTTCACATGCTTTAGTCCAGCCCCACCCAAAGCCACCCACTAGGTTTTGTTTAGTTTCTCAGGTTTGAGTCTATGAAACACAGGTGGACCCAGCTGGCCAGGTCAGATTTACCGTCAGAAAGGTGAGTTCCCTTAGCGCTTGGCAGCCCATGGGGCTTGCAAGCGATGCCGTTGGGTGAAAAGCCCCAGTGTGTAACACCCTTTTGCTCCCAGGCACAGTCATGCTCCAGCTTCTGGCAGCGTTCACTGCCCGTGTCTCGTGTGCCCCTCCCTCCGCCTGGACAGAGGCTAGAGGGTGCCACAGAACAGCATCTGCACCAACAGCAGCGCAGTGCTCTTGGGGCTGGGTTTCTCACGCGGCAAGGGGAGTGCAGTGCCGAAGAGCCAGAGGAATGTGATGGGCTCCAGTAGGGTATGAGGAAGCCCAGCAGATGCAGGGGTGGGTGCCGAAAGGGAGGGGGGATCAGAGGTGGGAGGCCGAGGAAGGGAGAGGGTAAGAGACCTTGCTCCCTGTTCCTGTAGTATTTTTAAACTTGCCTGTGACAAGAAACTCAAAACCAGCTGGGTTGGCTCATCAGAAAATCACAAGGCCATGGCAAGATAGCCAGCCTGCAATGCCAGGGTGCACTCCAACGTTCTCCAGCTTCAAAGAGTTGAGGTAAGGGCAGTGGGGAACACAAGGCCCTGAGAGGCATCTGTATCTGCCACCTGGGTTGATGTCTCTTTAGACCTTTTAAAGGGCTTGAGGAAGAGGGGTCCACATGGCCCCTATGACTGGGCAGGTCAAGCTCTAAGGCTAGAGAAGTCCTCCCAGAAGGCTAGAGTGGCTGTGGAGGAACCAGCCAATCAGGAGCCAGGAGGGTCTATATAAGAGGAGCTGGTGGACTAGAGGCAGATCAGTTGCAGCCTAGAAGAGAGGAGGTTGTGGTGGGCTAGTGGAACAAACGGGACCAGCTCCCTGTGGAGACTGATGGACCTGATGTCTGGTCCTCAACCCCTAGGGCAGCCCATTGGCCTCCCCCAGCTGCACCAAACCAGCCCCCTTACAATGCCCATCCCCAATCTGGTCCCTTTACTATGTCCTAGGGTTGCCCGGTGTCCTGTCTCCGCCCGGACTGTCCGTTCTACCGGACGTGTGAAATGTCCAGTATTTCCTGTTTCCCTCGGACGGAAGCCGGCGGGGACCGTTTCCCCTGCTGCGTCTGGCGGGGCGGGGGCGTGCGGGACCATTTAAAGGCACAGCGCCTTTTTTTTTTTTTTTTTTTGTTGCTTAACAACTTTGGTCTCCCCCTTTCTTTTTTCTCAACGGAATTTTTTCCCCTTTTTGGGGGATGGGGTGGGGGTGGGGTTCGGTATTTTTTGTTAAACCATCTGGCAAC